TTTCCTTTTATAATTACTTTTTTTAACAACCTTATTTTATTTAACAATTTAATAAGAGTCATAAAAAAACTATTAAATTAACATTTATATTTTGTACAGATCATTTTAAAATGTGGTTAGAAGAAGCTTATTTCGCAAACATTGGTCCTAATAGCGTTCTTCTTATCGATTCATGGACTGGACATTGCCCCAATATGATTTCGGATTTAACACCTCCTGGAACACATATTACTACTATGATAATACCGAAAGGAACTACAGGGAAAATACAACCATTAGATGTTTATGGATTCAGAATTTGGAAAAATTTTGCTAAAAGATTTTCAGATGCGGTTTTACTGTTGGAAAGTAATATAAACTTACATGAACGAAATAATATAATAAAATTGCAATCTTTGATACATAATCAATTGTCATCCCCACGATATCAAAACTTATTTAAATATTCGTGGTTTAAAAGTGGTTATACGAATGAAAGACCAGACGAATTCGAAAATCCAGTACACTTTAGTTTAGACGAAACTTTAACAAAATGTGATATCGAAGGTTGCAATAATATAGCTGTAGTAAGATGTTCTTGGTGCAAGAAGTCATTATGTTTGAAACATTTTTTTGTCGAATATCATTATTGTAATGTGTATAATGAGTGAATAATATAAAATGCAAATACATTTTTAAAAAAATCTAAATATACACAATACACAGTTATAAATACATAGAAAACATAAATAAGAATTATACAAAAACATTTTTTATATATTTTATTGTTCGACGGTAATTACTTACGCACATAGCACGGATGAGCGTATATACGGGAGCGTTTATAATTAATTTTCGAAAATGATATTTCGTAACATAACTTTATTACACATGGTTGAATTTGGAAAAAAATAAGCTTTAAATTAGGTAAAACAAAATTTTTAATTTTGAAAAAAAAAATTAGGTGGTGAGGGTTTTTTAAAAAAAAAAAAAAAAAAAAATTTTTGTTCATATAACTTTAAAGTACTCTTCAAGCCATTAAAATTTGTTGTACGTTTTTTCTTTATATCTCTTATAGTTTAGCAGATATTTGATCCTAAAGAAAAATACCGTTATTCTTTAAAGGGGTGTTTCACCCCTTAAAACTCAAATTGCGCACGTATAAAAAAATACGTGTCTTTTAGATTTGTGTATTTAACAACATATTTCAAGGAGAATCAAATCGGTTCCGGACAGTTGTGACATGTCCCTTGTTAGTGATGCGAGATTTGAAGGATTCAGTACTTAATAGTTGTAATGCAAACATACAGTTTTATTATAGGTATGTCGATGACATAGTTTTAACTACGCCGATGAATCAGATCACAACAATTTAAATAAGATTAATCAAATTAATATTAAACGCTAGTGGTAAAATAAACTTGGCAAAAAATTGATTTCGACGTAACTAGCAATTTTATTCAATACTTTCACGATGTTTCGACCATTTGGTTGTGGTCCTTATCAAATGAGAATTCTATAACACAATATTACACAATAGTTTTTAACAATGTTGAAACATACAAGAACATATTCAAATGTTAAGTTATGACTACAAACATACCCATCAATTAAAATGAGATTAACGCAACATAAAACCGATCTTATTTAAAATTAATAGTTAAAAGAGGAACACGTCCCATCGCTATGATGTTTCGTCAACGGACTAAGTTTGAAACGCACCACTAAACAATCTTTATTATTTTGTCGTAAATATTTGTCAAATTGTCAGTGTCTTTCTGTAGGTTATAGAACAAAAGTAGGATGATAAAAAAGTTTAATAGGATAAAACAGAAACATATTGTATTTTCAAATCCATTGGAAAGCATTGACAATTCTAACTGGTTAATAAATATCAGCTCTAAAGTGTTACCTGATACTGTATCTAATAAACTCTTAAGTTTAGGTGACACGTTTGCATTGCCGATTCATTGCCCAGATAAGAACGACCGACTAAATATATACCGTTGAAGTTATAAAGAATTTCGAATCGAATTGTCGTTTATGTTCCGGAAAATGCTTTGAAAACAACTAACTATCTATTGCCAATTCATTACAAAAAAATCTATCTAAAAGTAAACATATTAATTATTGTGACAGATTTATTCAGAATGCTTTTAATACTTCTAATAAATATTTGCAGAATAATAAAGATTTGATTGTTACCAAAGCTGATAAAGAACAAAGTTACAGTAGTTATGAATAGAAATGACTACGTGACTAATATGGAATTATTGTTAAATGATTCGATGACATGCAAAAAATTAAATAAAAATTTGATTAAACGTCTGACGAATAAACTTCACGCGTTAGTAAGATCATGGCATAATAATGAGATCATTGATGATCAAACATATAAATTTTTAAATTGCTCGAAGATCCATAAGAACGGTTATCCATTGAGAATTATTGTGTCATCGTTGGGCAGTTCCTTTTATAATATTACCAGTTACATTCATGATATATTACCCAGCAAACACCGATATATAATTGTTACATTGCTATAATAAAACGGAATATAACAGGTAATATAACGTGTACGTTACATGTAACATCCATGTTAGTTGTAATTTCCCACTCATAGATGTAACATTTTAATATAACATATATTACATTGTAGTTATATTGTAATTATATACCAAATAGCACATTGATGTATTGATAAGTCAGTGCTATCTTGAAATATAATGACAATATAACTACAATGTAATATATGTAATATTAAAAATGTTACATCTATGAGTGGGAAATTACAATTAACATATACGTTACATGTAACATGCTTAAGTATATAACATTTATATACTGTGTTTGCTGGGTAGTTAAATCTGTTAAGAAACTGGATTCAAATATTAAAGATGGTTGGACGTTGTAAATATTATTAAGAATACAAGGGTTAATGACGATGACGTAATGATTTCCTTGGATGTTTGTTCGTTGTTTACGAATATGCCAAAAGATTTAGTTTTTTCTGCAATTGAAAATCGTTGGAGTGACATAAGTTTAAGAACTAAATTTAATTTGTAACAGTTTCTATACGCTATTGATGTAATACTTACTTCAACTAGTTTTCAATTTAATGAGCAGTACTATGAACAGATTTATGGAAGCTCTATGGGATCCCCTCTATCACCGATATTAGCTGACTTAGTAATGGATGACTTAGAAACAAATTGTTTAATATAAGAGTTTAACAAGGCTCTGTAATATAAATATAAATTTAACGTATAAGACGGGCAACAAGAGCCAAATCGCGGAAATTTTCGGATCTATATTTTTCTCTTGCATTCATTTATTTATTTTCCGTAGGGGGGTTAAAAGGGGTATTGAAATTAAATCTCAAAATATGAGATTATTTCATATTTAAAATCTTGGCCGTGTCCAAGTAAAATTTGGTGTCTTGTGCACCGGTATTTAATTCTAACGGAAAAATTATTTAGTTTCGTTAGGATAACGCATTGTCATCCGCGATTTGGCTCTTGTTGCCCGTCTTATACGTCAAATTGTTTAAATTCTTTAAGTTTTAAAGTTCAGACTTTTTATAGATCCCAGCAAACACCGATATATAATTGTTACATGGCTATAATAAAACGGAATATAACAGGCAATATACGTGTACGTTACATGTAACATCCATGTTAGTTGTAATTTCCCACTCATAGATGTAACATTTTAATATAACATATATTACATTGTAGTTATATTGTAATTATATACCAAATAGCACATTGATATATTGATAAGTCAGTGCTATCTTGGGATATAATGACAATATAACTACAATGTAATATATGTAATATTAAAAATGTTACATCTATGAGTGGGAAATTACAACTAACATATACGTTACATGTAACATGCTTAAGTATATAACATTTATATACTGCGTTTGCTGGGTATATTGCAATGTAGGTGCACCATAGAGATTTTGATCTCATAAACTTTTGCAAGATATTAATAGAATATTACTTTTAATAGTATACATTTCTCTCTCCGGAAAAATTCAATCTATAAAAGAAACGCAAATTGAACTTATAATCCGGCTATATATTTGGCATAAATAATTTCCAACATCTTTAATGATAAACTTGTTCTAAATAAATATCAGAGAGAGAGTAAGGGGTTAGCGGGAGGGGCAAAAGAGAGGGAGGAATTGGGGGGAAGAGAATGAGAGAGAGAAATCAATTATTTTAAAAAAATATTAAAACAAATCTATATCTTATTTCAGTACTTTCATTACTACATTCTTTGAGTATACAAAAATGTTTCTAGATTTCTTCTTCAGCCATAGTACTATCCCAGCAAACACAGTATATAAATGTTATATACTTAAGCATGTTACATGTAACGTATATGTTAGTTGTAATTTCCCACTCATAGATGTAACATTTTTAATATTACATATATTACATTGTAGTTATATTGTCATTATATCCCAAGATAGCATTGACTTATCATACATCAATGTGCTATTTGGTATATAATGACAATATAACTACAATGTAATATATGTTATATTAAAATGTTACATCTATGAGTGGGAAATTACAACTAACATGGATGTTACATGTAACGTACACGTTATATTACCTGTTATATTCCGTTTATTATAGCAATGTAACAATTATATATCGGTGTTTGCTGGGATGTTATGAAAGGACAGCTTTAACATAACTGAGATGCTGTAAATACATATACTTATATATTTAAAATTTTTTTAAAAATTAAAATTTTGTGTATGAATTGTTATCAACTTTATTAACAATTTTATAAAATGTATTCAGTCAATGTTTTTATATTTAATTGCATAATTTTCAACATTAATTTTAGTTTAAGTCTTAAACTTTATTTCTCTTTATACCTTAAACGTTATAGTTATTAAAAGATGTAAAATATATAATATTAAAGACGGTAAGTATATTTCAATTATATACCTGAATGTAATGTTTAAGTTTATCTGCAAAAGTGGAATAAACTTCGAGGACGATTTTACTGATTGTTTATTTGGAAATTTTAGACAGATACTTTGCATATGAACTTGCATAAGAATCGGCAATTGCCAAAAGTGCAAAGTTATGGCTAATCTTTGCACAGATATTGCTTTTCTATGTGATGTCTTTTCTGCTTTCCCAACATATTTATCAGATACTCAAACTCAACTAGCGACATATCCTTGATATTTTTGGACTATCCTCGAACAGATGAAACTTTAGCCGCGTAATAAACTTGTACACTTTGCGATTTACGAAAATTGTTTTTGTCCACCATCGTCGTGCTTTCCTATATAGTTTTTTCATTATTAGGTAGTGAAGAGAAATGTAGCTAACAGCAGCTAACTATCATATATGTATAGAGAAATAGAGATAACGAGAAAATTTTTTTTAATTTAGAAAATGAGGTATTTTTTGTAAGTATTTTTATAATACAGTAAAAATTGATATAAATAACGATAAAAATTTATACATCTTTGGATAATTTTATATTCTTTTTTAACGTTAGTTTTTTCGAAAGTTCACAGACTTCGTAAACGCTCGCACTATAAATCGCACTATAAAGCGATACGATTTATTATCGCTTTCTTGTGATTTAAAAGATCACAATCACATAAAGAAACTTATGTTTAGTCTACATATAATATATATACTTTTAATACTATATAAATAACATACGAATCGTATCTTCAACTCTCTAAGCACCGACATGTTATATTAAGGAACTTTAAAATAAAATTCTGCACGTAGAAGCTTTATTATTACTTTGTGATGAATAAGAGAGAAAATCTTCGCGATACCTTTAGCTATCTAATCTCTTTGGCTGCGGCAGTTTGCAAATAGCATTGTGGACTGGCATGGACAACCAACCGGCCAATGCGATTCCGATTGAGTCCGACATTGTCGCGATTCCAAGAGAGGCCTCACGATCCGCTTTTGGAATCTACAAGCAAATCAATTTTACATTATCGTAAAAAAATAAATCTCCAGATAGATAGTGTGATAAAATTATTTTGTTTAATTTAAAACTTTAAACATATAAATTAAATGAATGAATTAAAATTTTAATTTAAAACATATTTTATTGATTTCATTTTATATTTTTAGATTTATATATTTTTTAATATAATGTAATTTTATTTTATAATAGCTTTATTACCTCAGATGACATCCGAAAGAAAGTGTTCACATACGCCCCGCCTCCAAGTAGACCCTCCCACATAACAAGGCCAAAAACGATCCATATATTTGGTATATAATAGTATATAGTTTCAAACAGAAGAATTATGACGTTAAAGAACTGAAAAGAATAATCAATTTTTAGAATAAATTTCATAAAGACTACATATAATTCGTGTTTTTATCAAATCTAATGGAATATTAGTTTATGTAATCACCTGTAATAGGGACAAAATCCAAATTCTGTCAATCGTAACTATGTTTACCGATGATCTGGAGAGAAATACACCTATCTGGTAATCCGCTTGGAGCCATCTGTATTGTTCATGTTGTTTCAACCAAATACCGTCAAATTCGATGAGCTCGTACTATAAACATATCACTCACTTTAGAAGTTCGGTTGATACAGATTTTTTTATAAATTTTTATAACTATAGAACCTATATATGTATAAACGTGATAGATGCTATAAAAGCATCTTTTATTTTAGCAATATTATTTCATAAATATAATGCTTAACGATGTAATTTCTCTACATATCTCTTCTCCTTTCAAATACAAATAAATTAATTTATCTTTTCAATAACAACATAACTCCATGATTATCATATAATTAATACTAACAGAAAGAAAAGAAGAGATAATTTAATAAATACAAAAATAGATTTAAATAAATTAGCAAATACTTTTATCGGTTTAAGATATAGTTTCCCAATGAGCAATATATATTATAAAAAAATAAAGCACTTAATTCGTAAAATACTCAAAAGTTTAAGAGTCGGATTTCTAAAAACACCATCAAAATGGTAATATTTCCAGCAAACACGGTATATAAATGTTATATACATCAAGCATGTTACATATAACGTATATGTTAGTTGTAATTTCCCACTCATAGATGTAACATTTTTAATATAACATATATTACATTGTAGTTATATTGTCATTATATCCCAAAATAGCACTGACTTATCAATACATCAATGTGCTATTTGGTATATAATATAACTACAATGTAATATATGTTATATTAAAATGTTACATCTATGAGTGGGAAATTTACAACTAACATGGATGTTACATGTAACGTACACGTTATATTATCTGTTACATTCCGTTTTATTATAGCAATGTAACAGTTATATATCGGTAATATAACGGAATATAACAGGTAATATAACGTGTACGTTACATGTAACATCCATGTTAGTTGTAATTTCCCACTCATAGATGTAACATTTTAGTATAACATATATTACATTGTAGTTATATTGTAATTATATACCAAATAGCACATTGATGTATTGATAAGTCAGTGCTATCTTGAAATATAATGACAATATAACTACAATGTAATATATGTAATATTAAAAATGTTACATCTATGAGTGGGAAATTACAACTAACATATACGTTACATGTAACATGCTTAAGTATATAACATTTATATACTATGTTTGCTGGGACATTATTGTAATCATACAAATTCTTTTTTAAAAAGTCTGTAGACATCCTAAATCCTGACCCTGACCTTAAAACCCGATCCTGAGAATTAATAAACAGATTTTAAAATTCCTATAGACTTATATTTGAATAAAAAAACTTTATAATTATATATAACGTGCTTTTTGCACACATAATCCAATTTCTTTGGTTGAATATAGATATATAAAAATATAATATCGCTATTTTATGCTTAAATCATATATAGAACTTCTAAATATGGAAGGAGAATAGAAACGTCTAAGATGACATATTTCAGCAACTGCTCATGCGCATTTTGAGAAAAAGTCATCTTGAACACAGTTTTGCGCTTCTATATTCCTCTTCCATATCTATATTAAGTTCTATGGCTCAAATAAATACATATTTAATAATATACATATATATATATATATATATATATATATTTATAATTTAAGAAAAGAAGTTTACTTTAAAAACATTAATATCAACGAATGTAAATGTTATTTTAAAGTCTCTTGCGCTTCTGTGGCGTTCGTAAATAGCACGCTTGCTAAAGACACTAAAGATATCTATGAAAAGACATCATAAAGAAAACTATTCTAAAAGATATCTTATAAAAAGATAACTTATTGATATCATTTCTAAGAAAAATTAATTAAGTCTTCAAAAAGTTCTTTTAGAGTTTATCCTTTCAATAATGTTTACTGGGTTAAGAGAATGTAGTGAAATATTGTTTACCAGGCCTTGATTAATGAAATATTCAAAAAGATAAACTAGTCCGAGCGGTATCATGTACTTCAGCAAGCCAGGCATTAAATTGATCTTGTCCTTGAAGCTCTTCTCGGGAACTTTGATGATTTGTTCTTGACTTTCGACACCGGTCTTGATAATTGATATTCTGGTGTGCGATGGATGTTTGAGGATAAACCAGAACGTGATTGCTTGCAAGAGTGGCACAATTAACATGACCAACAATGTGTTCTCTATAGATAGTATCATAGCGAGACCAGCATAAGATAAAGCACCGATTACTCCTGCACCGCCTGTTCCCGATGACCATGTCGAAATCACTTGTCTGCAAGAAATTTTTATATTTACTACAACGTTCTAAATTTATCACTAGCTAAGAAATTGATAAAAATAAATTAAAATATAAAATTTTTTTTATTAAAAAATAAAAAATATTAACATAAAATATTAAACTAATATTTAATTTATATTTTAATTTCCATATTTTTATTATTAAATTACATCTGAATTTATATACGACATATATAATATATATTTATTATATATATATATATATATATATATATATATATATATATATATATGCGCATCTTTTATCTAACTTTTATTTTTACATATGTCAGTCGCTCACGATAAAATATATTACATTTTGAAACACTTTAAGAAATTTTAAAGAACCACGCATGCATTATCTTATCATTATTTTTTGTCACAGCTGTCTAAATATCAATACTTTTTTATTATCCTGAAAATATAATCGTCGCAGCATGTAACGATCATTTAAACATGCTATTCAGAACAGAAAAAATGTCTATTAAGATAGTTTATCTTAAAATTATGTTATACATATATATTCAAATAACAGTTAATAGTATATTGTGTATCAAGTGCGGAAAGTTGACAATTGGTGAACAATTGTCAATCCGCACTTGATACACATACTATTTTGTATTGCAAGTGCAGGCAAAGTGGCTGTTTCGGCGCGTTTTCTGTGCGCGAGGCGGCCGAATTGCACGCCGCCATCTTGCCGCGACACGGTGGGGGAATAGCCGGTTTCAATACATTTCCTACGGCTTGAGCCGTATACAATGACTTTTAACGCGGCTCAGCCGTAGATAATGGCGTTGAAACCGGCTTATTCACTCACCGCGTCGCCGCTAGATAACGGCGGGGAAAATCGGCCGCTTTCGGCACAGAAAACATGCACCAAAAGTGCCACATTGCCTGCACGTGTAATACAAAAATAATTTTTTTAAACACAAGAAAAAGAATGATCATTTTATTTTTATATTACATGTAATTCCGGCCTTTTATTTACTTATTTACTCTATTAAATCATATATATTTGAAAAATTTGTGATTAAAATTGCGAAATAAAGCTATTTTAATGTATTTTACTTTAATTTTGTAATGTATTTTATTTCAATGCTAATTCATAGCTATACTACACGTATGCCATGCTTGTAAAATTTTATTACATCAGTATTAAATATTGAATTAATATTAATATATTCCCAAGGAGAACAGAAAAGTCAAAATGACGTCATATTGACTAAATTTGTCATTTTTTGCTCAATATGACGTCAAATTTAGTCAATATGACGTCAAATTGACGCTAATTTGACTTTTCTGTTCTCCTCGGGTTATATATAAATTATGATTGAGATATTCATGATTAAACTTGATTTATTATGCTAAAATTGTGAATTAGATTATTTTTAAAAACAAAATATATTTTTAATCTATAAACTTAAAAATTTTTCCGATTGCAGAATACAAATTCAATGTCAAAATTATATAACAAAATTAACAGAATAGTAAAATCAAAATTTACAAAACTGTCAGATTTTTTATTAATATTTTTATTTTTTATTTTTAAAATAATTAAAATTTTTTTGATCAAATAATTTAAAAATTCGAAATCATATCAGTGTCAAAAAAGCTACAAGAAATATATGTAATTAATCTTTTTTTTATTAAACTATACAGGGTGGGGCAATAACTATTAGGACCTTAAATATCTTCGAATCTATGAGGCCCAGAGAAAGATTTGTGTAACAAAAATTGCACGGTACAAAGGGGGCTATCTTATGGCGATAATAATTTTTGTCCAGGTGGAGACGCTTCGGAGATACCAAGGTCATCTTCATTTTTTTAAATGGATCCGATATGTTTTTTTCTATAATATGATAGAGGAATTCGAAACAAGTTCAGAACTCACGACACAAGATCATTGAACAAGATTTAAAGTAAAGAAAAATCGATAGAAATACATTTTTATTATTAAATAAAGTTCACGTTTACAAAAGATGTTCGAACGGATACATCGTGCATGATTGACTGACTTTTATTTTCATTTTATTTTAATCTTATTTCAACTTATTTTCATGTTTAATTTATCCTGAGAACTTGCTCAGATGCCTTTCAGCAGTGATCTTTACAAAAGATGTTCGAAGTGATAGCCATTATTATCGATGCAAGACTGGATTCTACTACGGTGAACTTATTAAGATATGCTTCAAAGAGTGTTTGTTTACATTGAAGTCATAATACGTGAATACTATTTTCACTGCTGAAAGACATTTGAGCAAGTTCTCAGGATAAACTAGACATGAAAATGGATTAAAAAATAAGATTAAAATAAAATAAAAATAAAAGTCAATCAATCATGCACGATGTATCCGTTCGAACATCTTTTGTAAACGTGAATTTTATTTAATAATAGAAATGTATTTCTATCAATTTTCTCTTTACTTTATATCTTGTTCAATGATCTGTGTCGTGAGTTCTGAACTTGTTTCGAGTTCCTCTATCATATTTATAGAAAAAAAACATATTGGATCCATTTAAAAAAATGAAGATAACCTTGGTATCTCCAAAGCGCCTCCACCTGGACAAAAATTATTATCGCCATATGATAGCCCCCTTCGTACCGTGCAATTTTTGTTACACAAATCTTCCTCTGGGCCTCATAAATTCGAAGATATTTAAGGTCCTAATAGTTATTGACCCACTCTGTATAATCAATTTCAAATTTAATAAACAATGATGAACCAAAAGATAAGCATCTACCATAAATACTTAATGTTATAATATAAATAATGTTAAACAAGTGATTTGCAATGTACTTACTTGGAAAACTGATTACTATAACTAAGCAATGTGACTTCACCCAAACCGGAGGAGATCGATGTTATGACGACACCCAGAATGGCGAGCCATTCAACAGTACCCAACGATACCATGAGAAATCCTGCAGCGGAAAATAACACACAGGTAGCCAGTCGAGCACTGTAATTAACGAGTCAATTAATCAATTAGGATTTTGACTGATAGTTGGGATTCGGTCGCTTACACAATCGCGGAAGCTTTATACGAAGTTCCGAGTTGTCAGCTCCCAGCCTTATATGATCTTTATCAAACAGGTGAAATTTAAACAAAAGTGTTTTTTTACCAGTCTGAGTTCGACACTTTTTAACGTTATAATGAACGAAATATAGGGTAGACCGGGGCTAGTTGAGCCATGGGGCAAGTAGATCAATGGCTGTTATTCAGAAACAAAGATGCGTACAGGAACGAGCTTGCACGTGCAAGAGCGTTTTATAACGATGCGATATCGCGCCGAGTTTAGTCGCGTTTAGTCACTTGAGATGGACGGACACACGACATATGTGTTTTTATACCTTGTTTGTGAACTTTTTGTCGTTACTAAGTTTTGGTCGTTTTCTACCCTCTCGTTAACGTTTGGTCTCAAACGTTTTAACGAGAGGGTAAAAAAAATTGAAATAAGTAATTTTAATATTTGTTATTATTATATTTTTTAAAGCTATTGTACAAATTGCATATTTTTAAACAATATGCGAGTTATAAAGATATATATTGAAAAATTCATAGACGGGGTTAGTTGTGACAGTAGCCCAACTTACCCCACATACATAGTTAAATAATGTATTAATTTAAATATTAATTTTGCTGTTTATTTATTTTAGAATGCGTACATATAAGCAAAAGACAAATAGAGCTTCTACAACACAGGAACAACTTCAAGAATGACTTTATCCAGATATATGGAAAAATTTAAATCACATTATAATAATGTAAAGAGTTATTTTCATTAAAATTATTTAATAATATAATTATTTTTCAATGATTTCCTATCTAATTTCAGTTTTTCAGCTCATTGACCAACTTACCCCACACGCTGTCTCAACTTACCCCACTAGTGGGGCACGTTCAGCCACTTGTTCTGCCGTCATTTGAGACGTTTCTCCTTTGTTGTGATTACATGTTTAAAATTTTTTGTGTTATAATATAAGAGCTCACATGTCAAGCCTTCATTTGATATAATCTTCATTTTTATACTATAAATAATAGATAAATATTTATATGACTTTAAACAAAAAAGTGGCTCAACTAGCCCCGGTCTATCCTACGTACAACACAAGGAATCAGCCTACGCGATCAAATAAAAAGCGCAACCATTAGAGATGAGTGTAAAATACAGGATGTGCTAAGATGGGTAAGATAAAGACGTAGTGAATGGGGAGATCATATAGAAAACCGCATAGAACCCGAGAGATTAGCCAAATGGGATTAGAAAAACCAAATATTAAGCGACCACACAGAAAAGCCACCAAAAAGATGGAAGAAATACTGGACATTAACATCCCAAAAGGTCGAATAGTGGAACCGTAACATAAGAAGAAGAAAAAAAGAAAGAGATATATTGTAAAACGTTCAGGTACATTTCTTGCAAAAATGCACTTTATAACCCCAAGAAGATTAAAATATATATAAACGTTATTATGAAGAAAACTAAGAAGCAATTAAGAAGAAATGGCAAGGATAGACTGCCTACAGATAAAAAGACTGAAGTAATTTACGAAATTAATTGTAATGATTGCAACGTGTCATACATTGGACAAACAAAGAGACATCTATGTACACGTGTAAAGGAACATTTCAGCAACATCAAAATGCATTCGAGTAATTTATCAGTTATCAGTAAACATAAAATTGAATTCGATCACGATTTTGACTGGACTTCGCCTGTTATTTTGCATAGTGAAAAACACGTAAGAAAAAGAGAAATTGCTGAAATGTTTTTTATTAAGACAAATAATAACGCTATTAATTTGCAAAAGGATATCGACAATCTAAGTAATATCTACGACAAAATAATAAAGGTCGTTTATTCTCCAGTAACTCGTCTAAGAGTCTTGACGTGTTGTCAAACTGACGACACTATGTTCGTTCTTGACATCTTAAAATTATAATTTAATCTTTATTTTTACAAGTATGTTTCGCTTTTTTTTATCATTTTGTAATATTGTTAAGTAAAGTAATTTTTTTATTGTATTAATTTCTGTACTGTATTTCTTCTCTATCACTTGATAAAGACTCAAAGAAGGGTCGAAACGTTGTGATTTAATAAATAATATTTGCCAGTACGGTCGAGAGAAGATTCTTACCTTTTTTAAATTCTGTCTGGCGATTCTCAAATATCTACGTTTTTATTTAAGAAGAAATGTTTTAGACAAAAGTTGTTGAGTTTCAAAAGGAACGTACAGTGAAACCATAAAAGGGACATTGCTTTGACCTTCGGATAGAATGTCAAGGTGAAATAAAGCTCAACTTTATATTTTTTAATGAAACTCTAATTTTTTTAAACACCTACTTTTTGTAACTTTTCTCATGACAAATTTATAGTGACCACGCATTCAGAATTATTGGAAGTCAAATAATGGAAGCAGAGTTATATTGTATACCAATTCCAATTAATCACTAATAAAAATAGTGCTCACTTTGTAACACTTTGACACAAAAAACAGAAAAATATGAATACTCACTGTACTAGAAACGGCAAAAATGGTGCCGTCAACTTAATCGCCAGCGCTGGTAGAATATCTGCCAAAAGTATGGCACCGGTTGAAACTGTATTGCACGTGCGCATCCCTGTCGTATTTGTGCTATTTGTCTGTGATGTGGTATCCTAGAAAAAAAGAACAAAATAAAAACAATAACAATTTAGTTGCAAATATTCTTATTCAAAATATAACAAATCTTTTTATGTCAAAATTCTACATCAGTATATGTTTTACAAATCTCATTTTTTCTCTCTTTTTAAAAATATATTGTATTTATTGTTTTATTTAATGTATTCAATCTCATTTTATCTCTTTTTTTCAATTTAATCTTAATTATTGCTTGTGTAATGATAATCTCTGCTAAGACTACTTTATCAATAAATTGTTTTTCTCATATTAGTGAAGGATTTGATCGAACGATATAAATATTACGCAACAACTTCTCTCGTTACCAGATAGATAGATCATTTCTTGTTATCTTTAGCGCGCGGATGTTTATAAATTAATTTGTGACGTAAATCTAGATGTAATCAGTTTAACATAAATCAGAAAGCAGACTTTTATTCTCTCGTGTCAGTTTATTAATATTATCATTAGAAAATTTTCCACGAAAATGCACATTTAATTACTCATTAAATTAATATCTATATAAGTCAACAAAATTTATCGATTGTTACGCAAACAGTTAAAATCGCATCGGCGAATATTGCATAAACCAAATATTATCAATTGACATTTTGGTCCATCAATCTCTATATTAAGTCTATGTCAGTTCAGTTATTTTTGCATAACTGCTTTGGATTTATTTCAATTATAAAAATGTTTCCTTAATTTTAAATTAATATTTACATTTTATTAATTATCAAAAATATTTATACTTAAAAAGTGTCAAGAGAACAATAATCTTTTTAACAATTAACATATTTGCAAGCATCGTATTTTCAAATTTGGATTAGCAAAGCTTTGTGATCTATCAAAAGACAAATTCAATTGCTGAAATAATTTTTGCGGATCCTTTTAACATATTATATTTTCAAATATTATTTCTCATCGTCATCAGATCAATTTTTAAATTGAAGGCTATAAAATGACTTAAAATACATTTATACGGCAGGAAATAATATCTATTCCCCTTTCTTATTGGTGGATTTTATGTTAAGAACAAGAAGATTTTTTTAATTAAAAAATGAAAAATTATTTAATATAAAATCGATAAGTTCGCGCTTTGTTTCTATATGTACTTTTATTGCAAAAAAAGCATTTTTTATTCTATTCAACCAATAAAAAGAAAGGGGTGCACAAAAATAATAACAATAAAATATTTAATTTCGTTCGTTCGCCAGGAATGAAATACTAAGGTAGTAGATATTAAACTGACTACACTGGCTGTCTATTAGATTTGTTAAACTATATTTATTGACGTTTCGACCATACGGGCTGTGGTCCTTTTCAAAATTACAATAGAAGCATTAATGAGTTACTGCATATCGTTATTAACATTTAAAGTACGCTCCGGTGAGACTTAACTTAAGATCGGATGGTAAATTAACTGCGTTTCACTTGTGTACAGTGTGCTCAGTCGTGGCAAGATGACACAAGTGAAACGCAGTTAATTTACCATCCGATCTTAAGTAAGTCTCACCGGAGCGTACTTTTAAATGTTATAACGATATGCAGTAACTCATTAATGCTTCTATTGTAATTTTGAAAAGGACCACAGCCCGTATGGTCGAAACGTCAATAAATATAGTTTAACAAATCTAATAGACAGCCAGTGTAGTCAGTTTAAATCTACTACACAAAAATAATGTTTTATCGATAAAACAGGACGGCAGATGCCGGAGTAACGCCCGAACTCCGATAGGTCAGTACCACACATATCTACATACAGGGTTTGTCCGGAAAGTAATGCGTCGCATTTTTTTGTGACGCGACTATACATCGCAGAGCGATGGGACCGGTTGGGGAGGAAGGGGGTACCCTTAGCTTTCCAACGGTAGGTCGCTCAATTGTTTCCATGCGCTTGGAGGGTTAGGACGGCTTATTCTGTGAACCTCTGCTTAGTGGTCGCGTCGAACTTGTGATGGAGAGAACGATAGAGCAACGCTATGCGATAAAGTTTTGCGTGAAGCTGGACAAGACGCCGCTGGAAACTTTTGAAATGCTCAAGAAAGTTTTCGGGGACGATTGCTTTCCAAATCGCAGTCAAA